TTACTTTTTCCCACCGAGGCTTCTAGACTTCTGATTGGCCAACATTTCTGCACGGTTAGGAATATAGCGCCACCTGCTGCTTTGGCATGTTCCTAGCAGCGTTTTCCTTCATTTCTGCCTTTACGTGTGGACGGGATTATTTTTTAAAACGAAAACGGAAAATCTCCGTTTTCAAAAATACCCGTGTACGTGTGGACGTAGCCTAAAGCTCCCTCCTCTGTCTGTGGAGCTCCGTGCTGCCTTTCTCCATCACTCTGATATGCACACATGATGGCACTCAAAGATAAATCATTTAGGAATCATTGTAGCTCTGGCCCCTCACCCCACCCTGCTCCAGCCGTAGCTTTAGAGATGCTAGCTTCAGCAGTGATGGATGGAGGCTAAACGGTCCAGGCTGGGAGGCTCTGGCAGATGCCTCCAGCGGAGCCTGCTGATGGGACTACATTAGCCGAAGTTGAACTGGAGTGAATTAGGGGATAGCAGCCATGCGTGTCCATGCTTCTGACTGTGCCTCAAGTACAAACAGTGCTGAACACACAGATGCAACATGAACACTGATACCGTCCCAGCAGCCACAGTATTTATTAGCATTTAGCACTTTGAAGAAATGTAGAGAGAGTTTAGTGGAGAAAGAATCTGAACCGTGGTGCCAAATCTGGGTTTGAGTGCTGGGTGGGAAACACAAGTGTGGGCAGCTACATGCTTTTAGCACACATGCTCTGATTTAAACGGTGTGACCACAGCATGCTTTGCACTTCTTGTTTCACTTTTGATCTCCTTCAGGATGCAGAGGAGTATGCCGAGCTGCCCGTCAGACACAACGAGGACCAGCTGAACAGCCAGCTGGCTCAGCAGCTCCCCTTGCAGGTCAACCCCCACTCCTATGATAGCGCACACACCAAGACCCACCTGCTGCTGCAGGCCCACTTCAGCCACGCCCAGCTGCCTTGCAGCGACTACACCACCGACACCAAAACTGTGCTGGACAACGCCATCCGCATCTGTCAGGTAGCCGACACTCAGCAGCTGACGCAGACCTTCCTTCGTGTTTTTCACTTTAGCTGTTACTCTGTGTTCATGCAGTACTAAAGACTGAAGGGATTTTTTGCTGTGCTCTAAATGATCTGTGCAGCACAGTTTGTGATTCCTCCTGCACCTCACGAGGACACCTGCTGTGCTCTCTGCAGTGGTGAACCATGTCTGCTGTCACTGAACAGTTTTCACTCACGTGTCACTTGTTGCTGCTCTGCAGTAGCTGCAGCAGGAAGGTTGTACTCAGACTTTTCTGTGGTGTCTGTGACCATCCACAGTCCTGATGGGCACATATCACATATCCATTCATTCATTTTCATCAGACGAGCTGATAAATATATGGATTTGATCAATATTATTTATTCTAGCAGTGACGACACATTATCAACTGTATCAATGTTTCTTTGGAATATACAAAGTTTACTTCTACAAATATGTAAAAGCACCGTGTCTGTCTGTGTGTAAGCAGGCTGCAGGTGTTAACACCCCTCTTACATCTTTATGTTGAAGAATGTGGAAGATTTCATTTAGTGTGGTAATAATCCCTTCCAGCTGATAAAAGCAGGAGTTGAGCTAACACAATGCTAACACGATGCTAACACAATGCTAACACGATGCTAACACAACGCTAACACGACGCTAACACGATGCTAACACAATGCTAACACAATGCTAACACAACGCTAACACAACGCTAACACAATGCTAACACACACCTACAGCCAAATGGTCGTAGCTTCTATTGGTGTTGAGTGCTGTGCTGCACATGCACGGTGCTCACGTGTTGATGGGCTCAGTGCTGTAGATGTTTAGAATAAGGGGAA